AAACCCGAGGCACTAAACCCAAAACCCCTTAAACTGACCATAAAAGCAAACTCTTGCTTCCCCCAAAACCTCGGTTAGCGGAGTACTCACTTAAAACAAGGATCCTCAGTATCAGAGCCCGGATACAGGAGATCCGAAAAGCACCGAAGTGCGAGATCCAAAGGCTCATGATTTACGGTTTAGGCTTTGTTCGGTATCAGGGCTTATGTGAGCTATGTGGTGTTCTAATTTGGCCCCTCAAAGCCTCTGAACAAGATTCGTAAACAAGATCTCTTACAACGAAGCAAGGAAAATATTGAAATCCCAGAGGCCTAGCTAGACCTAGTCTTCGTTTGCCTGGTATTCCCAAGTCTCGAAGGAGATCAGACAGTATATGCACAGTATTCCCAACCTCCCAGCGGTGCGCCAAAGAAAGCGCTGCCAACACGGCTTCATAGTCCTTAGAAGTCCAACACCAGTAAAGACAGATTAGGGTTCAGGGATCTTTGCAACAGTCCTGGGCCACAGCTGGCGAACCAACGACCCCGGAAAGCAAAGCCAAACAAACTCCGCCCAAATCCAAAACCCAAAGCACACGTTTTCGCCAGACCCCGCTGCAAGCTCTTACAATAGCGATTTCATAAAACATTGGCTCAAACTCTTTACCTTCTCAAGGAGAGCTACTGCTACAAACATAAGAAATCTATATAGACCCTCAACTCTAAACCGTGAGGGGTTCATCCAAAATAACGACTGCTCGAGGACCAGGGAGCAGGATGGCTCCGTGTGGCACTCATGTACAAGATATCCTCGGTGTGGGAAGCGCAGGCGAGTTCACCCAAAGGCCTTCTATAGTGTGGTCTTTGGGCCCAACAGTATGTGTGCCTCGAACCTTAGGGTAACGGTCCAAGTACCTAAGTAGCCACAGGACTTCCTATGTGGTACCTTATCGGCCTAGATACTTCAGAAATAAACCCTCGATCCCCACCACCCCGACTTCCCCGAGCACGTTTTCCAGCATCGGCAAATGCTTTCGTAATTTTTCTCGCGGGTGTCATTCGGAAGAAAGGTTGGGCTTCTTGCTTTCTTGCTTGACTTCACGCCGATTCTAGAAAGCGCGTGATATCATCGTTTGGGGCTTGTCGGTGCATGAACTAATCTATATAGCCCGATTGCAAAGCATAGCATTCATGCCACGTAGCCCTAACGCCCACACCAAACTTTGAAACCCTCAACACCCCCCAACCTTCACCCTTGAACCCTATACCGGGCCGCAAACCTGAAGTAGAAACCTTAAACCTGAAATCACAAACCCTGTAATGCGAAAGCTGAGGTTAGCCCTGAAAAAGCCCTTAGACCCTACCTGAACCACTTGTCCAGTATCCAAGCAAGGCTAAAGGTTACCTGCTCTGCTAAGAGGCGGCGAAGATGAGAGGCTAATAACCCTTGGTTTGGTTTTACCCAACATGCAACATGAGAAGAATTTCAAACGAGAACCCTGCGAAAACTAGAGATGATCTATATGGGTAGTTCTGTAAGTAAGGGTCCCCTTCTTGGGGGTCTTTCACTATTTTGGAGAGCTAGAAATGGACCCTAATTTAGAGGACCACCCATAAATTAATGTAGCCGTAGTCTAGTATGGACCGATACGCTGTTCTGTTTGTCAGGTTGCAACTTTAAAACTGTTGAGCCCTGAAGGGCCACACCTCGAAGAACGGGAATCTCATAGACGAGTTTGAAAAAACACAAAGCCTTTATTCCGAAACCTTCATCCCCTTGGAAGGCTCTATGTCGTGTTGGCTTCATATGTATGCCGCAAGATCCTATTCTCATCATTTTACAGCCCGATCTAAATCCCTTCGAACCCCAACCCCTTGATGCTAAAATCTGAACCTTCAACACCTAACCTAAGCCCTAAACTCAGACCCCGAACCCCTAAGCCCCAAACCCAACCACTTACGCCCCAAATCCACTGGAAAGGCAAGATAATATTATATAGTACAGTACGGTACACTGCAGTACAGTACAGTACATTGTAGTATAGTATACCCTTGTAGCATCATAAAGTATCATCTAATTTATGCAACATAGCATCATCTGGGTAGTTCTCTAAATTAAGTTCCCTTTCAGGGTCCTGTTTATAAGCGTGCCGTACTATGTTGGGGACCTAAACAGGGACCCGACTTTAAAAGAACGACCCTAAACCCAAAACCCTGAAACCCAAAACCCTGAACCCTAAAATCCCTAGACCCTAAACCCTGATATAATGCCAAGCTTCCAGGAACAGCGCCACGCCGGCTCTGGGGGTTTCCTCCACGGCAATGGACTTGCTTGCAGCTTCCTTCCTAGGAAAGAGGGGGCCCTACACCCTAAACCCCCAAGCCCCCAAGCCCTAAACCCCCAAACCCTAGACCAAAAATCTCCCAACCCCCTAAACCCCCCAAACCCCAAACCCTATTCTGAGTGCTCGGAAAGATTGGGAGATCTCCATGGCTGTAGGGCTTCGCGTCGAGGTTGCTGGATCGTGCTATGGACTGCTGGGTTGAATGAGCCATCTTTGTCTCGGGCCGAAGGTTTAGGGTTTACGGTCCGGTCCCAAAAGACAACAAAACTGACTCCCCGATCAGTCGAACTGAGTCAAGTTTCATCGGCGACTGCAGCAATGCCTTGAGGACGGGGGAGGCAGCCATCAGGACAATGTCATGACAAGTTACCGCGCCACCAGCTGTCTCAAAGGTCACGTTGTGGGTCTCCGTCATGTCCCGCATCACCTCCCAGGGTGGCAACATGCGAAATTCAAGCGCAACACGATCCGGGCGGCCTAGGTGGAGCTTGCTTGCATCAAGCGCAAGAGCAGGAATCTACCTGACAACATACGGGCTTAGAGTTTAGGGCACATCTTCTACCTGGCCTCCCAGCGGTTGATCACACCTTGGTCCACAGTGGCCTGCGTGCGCCTGGCATCCATCGCCCGCGCGATTACAGCCAAGATGCTCTCGAAGTATTGGATGTGACTCTGAGTGGAATGAGCGGACACGGAGTTCCCCCGCTGCCCATGAGAAGCGGTGGGACTCCGATGCAGAGCTTTAAGCCATGCCACAGAAAGTGAGATCGCAGAATGGCCGGCAAAGGCGACTTCAATCGTCGCAGTTGGAGAATTTGGAGGGCCCACGCTCAGCCTGGGTTCGCATTAAAGCGTGATTCAAGCTAGCATAGTGAGGAAAGCCTGCTAGTTACTGTGTATGTTAACCATCACCTGGTGCGTAGGTTGAGTCATGTTCGTCATCAAGAACCCAGCAGCCTGACCATCGCCGACTTGTTGCTGTCGGGAAAGAAACCAGAAATGCGAAAGTACGGCGCTTGATGATGTGGATCCGCTCCAGCATTCAGCATCCACTCAACGATGCGAAGATGTATCTCATGTCTTCCCCGCGACATGCCCTGTAGGATTGCAAAGTGGAGTGGAGGAAGCGAGCCGTTGCTCCAGCAGAAGTTCGACGGCGTAAACTTCATCAGGCCTGGTAGATCACCAAGCTCGATAAAGCTGAACACGACATCAACGTCGACGCTGCGTCGCTGTCTCGATGGACACTGGCCCATTGCGTGAACTCCGCGGGTTTCCAACAGCTGAGCGCCTAGAGCGTGTAACAAGTAAGAGCAGATGTCAACAAAAAAGAAGCTGCAGATTGCCAGCTTGTTGATATTACTTTCTAAGTTCGAAAAAATCTACTTTGAGTACGGCCCATGTGCAGCGCTGAGTTCGTTACCCTGAACCTCAGAGCTCCGGGACTTGCGAACAGGGTCGGAGGTCTTAATCGTCAAGAATTATACCGGAATCTGAGTAAGAAACCCTGCGTTTTTTTTTTACTAGGGTTCTTTACGTGAAGCCTGTTTTGGGATTAGAGGGGCCAGCTTCCTGCAGTAGTGCTCTGTCATGGTCCCTTTATAATGATAGCATAATCTCATGGGTAATCCCATTCGTCCAATCATTGAGGCCCATCTAGCTATCAATAATCTGAACTCTAAATACTCAAAACAAACCTTGCGAGTGGGGCCTAATGTGGGGGCTTTAATAATAAGAATAGGGTTTTGAGCTCCTTCGTGTTGCAATTATAATTATAAGGAACCCCAACATATTATAGGTAATTGTTTAGGCCCATATATATATGTGTATATATATATATATATATATTTTTTTGAACCCTCAAGATCGAAATCTATGTATAAGCCCGAGTCACGCCCTCGGCGCATGCTCAAACCAGGATGACGTCTATGTTTCCTGTGCATCCGCTTCGGTCAGTGCTCCGACGCCACCCTAACATAGCATATCATGGCCTTAACCATAGAAAGGGTTTTGGGGTATATGTAAACCCAATTAAGGAGCCTTCAGGAAGGGGATTTGTAATTATTCAGACTGCTACATCAAACCCCAAGCGCTGCACACCCCAAAGCCCAGACGCCTGGAACCCTAAATCCGAAAAGGCCTCGATAAACCCTGAGAGCTCTATCCCCCTTCCAAAAACAAATTAAATGGGCAGTTCTCTAGAGTTGGGTCCCTTTCAAGGTCCTTTGTATAAGAGTGCCATACTGAAATATGGGGGACCCACAAAGGGGACCCTACTTTAGAGAACTGCTCAGATACCTCGCACAGCCGGGGCCTAGCCGCTCGTCCGGCTTGACGATCTGCTCCACCAGAGCGATCTTGAAAGCGGAAAACTCCTCGCGCTTCGGTGCAGTGTGATTAGTGGGGGCTCAGGGTTAAAGGCTGTTGTGCTTTAACGAAAGGTTTACGTAGGTCTTTTTCTCAATTGGGTTTAGGCTTTAGATGTTTGTCTACACAAGCAATGGGATGCAAGATCAGGGTTTCGAGGGCTTTAGGACTTTATCCTGCCTACTTGTCGAAGTGTCATGATTTCGGGGATTATGTGGGGACGGTACTCCCCACTCCCCCGCCCCCAGGTTTCTCGGATCCTAGACGGTTTGAACAATCACAACCGTTCAGCTGAGGCTTCTATGTTTATCAACCGTTCAGCTGAGGCTTCTATGTTTATGCGGTGTTGTGGTTCTGCCAGGGCATATTGCTGTTGATTTTGCCGATGCTCGTCTTATTGCAAAGGCTGAAGAATTACCAATGGTACTCCTTAGGGCTCCTGACTCTAGTCCTATATCCTATGCCCGAAAACCCTTACAGTAACCCTTTCGAGAAACCCTGTCAAGGGAACAGAGCCCCTTTAAGGAACCCTCTTCGAAGATTCTAATCCTTCCGACCCCAAATCCCCAAACCCTTGCAGCAAGTGTAAAAACAGCCCGTAAATTTTAATACAACAACAAAACTGTTCTAACTGTTCGGATCCCTGTGCTACACCGGATGTTTTATTTTTCTCCTTGGCAGGGAGCTCTTCCAAAGTTCGCTTGAACTGCACCAGAAACGCCTGGACAGCCTCCGGTCAAACGGTTTAGAGTTTGTAGGGCCTCGGGGTTTAGGGAGTATGATTAAGGGGTTTAGGGTCGAGGGGGCTGGGGGTTTAGTGTTTGGGGATTATAAGGGCTCAGGGTTGGATTAGGCTGTAGGGGCCCCTGAGGTCGGAGGCTTTCAAAAATCTCTTGGGGTTCACGGGCGGTTTCAGGGACCTCCCTGCTTCATTGGTTTGAGCTTGGGCGTACCGAGTCGCGTTTACATCTTGTCCTCTGGGCAATGCCCTCCAAAGTTCGGACTTGATAGGCGTTGGTGAGGTACACCGGGTTTCTGCATCTACACATATGCTCGCCTTGACGGACCAACAGCTGAGCTGACGTGCGGCTGTCTTCAAGGCCGAAGTTTCGACGTTCCAGCTAGGGCGTTTGCTAGCATTTGCAGCTGCTACGGCACTCGCTGCTGGATCTGTCTATGGGCCTGTCTGTAGTGCCTTTGAAGTTCTGCCTTTGCATGTGGTCTTTTTTTTTGGGTTTGAAGATGATATTCTCCGTTCGGCCTCTTGTATTTGCCAGACATAGGCCCGGCAGTTACGGCTTCTGCGCCGACTCAGCGAAAATCCCCACACGCTAAATCCTAACCTTCAAACCGAAAACTCCGCAGCCAAAAAACCTCCCAAAACCGTAAGCAGACCCCTAAACCCTAAACAGAAATCCCTCAACCCCAAGCAAAACCCCCTAGACATCCCTAGACCCTAAACTAACACCCCCAGACCCCAAGTGCTCTTCCCGACTGCTCCCCGCAAGTTTTCCCCCGCCTCCAGAAGCTCTGCGGGTTCCCGGCTGCTGCTTTGCACGGCCAAGGAGAGCCGAGCTGAGAGGCCGTCCTTATAATATATGTGTATATATATATATGTATATACAGTATATATTAACTAATATATATATATATATATGTTATATATGTATAATATATATACTTAGGGCGTATGTGTTTTGCATTAGCCTCTTCGAAAACAAAAATAGCAGGTCGGTTTGCGGATGTTGAGATGCTTAAGGGCACTTGTTCTGGGCTTGTTAGACGGTTTGTTGGAGCCACAAGGACATCAAGAGCTTGTGGGTCTGTCGCTGAAACTCCACAGTGCCATACATCCGGCACACAGAAGCCAAACCCCACCGTGTTCACGTCCCAACATCCTAATACAAGCTTCCGAAATGCTACAACCCCACCAAAAGCCCTAAACCCTAAGATGCCAAAGCCTACACCAGACTAGACAAAAAATAACACAAGTCCCAAACCTAAACCGCAGGCCTCAGAACAAAACAGTCGGGTGGCCCGGTCTGCTTGAGCAAGGACAACGTAGCCCAGCCTGGGAAAAAAGCGTCAGCTTTCGGATCGAGAGGACGAATGTTGGGATCTACTATGGACCTTCATAAATTAGAGTCCGCTATGTGTTTCATGATGTGTTTAGCAGGGCATTATAATACAGGAACCGACGATACTTTCATAGGCTCCATTAGGAAGGTGGGTCTTAATTTGGAGCGGAGCATATTATGGGAGCGGCTGGAAGCAAACCGGCTAATTTATGCCGACCTCTAAAACCCTCAAACTCTAAAGCCCTGAAGCAGGTTAAGCTTTTGGGGCCAAAAACCCATGAACCTGAAACCCTTTTGGCCTACCCCAAGATCAAGCCCTGATGGCTGAGAACACAGCTGCTGCTTGGTTCGGATCTCGTTGTAAAACCTCAGCAGCCAGCTGTAGGTTTCCGGCGGTTGGGATGAGGGTGTAGGGCAATCCTTGTCGATATCTGCTAAATCTTTTAAGATGGTTTAGGATTCAGGGTTTTTAAAGCTCTTAAGAAACTCAGACGCGGTTCCAAGTGGTCTCTTGAAAGCAGACAGCAAGCAGACACTTAGGGCGAAGCAGCAGGCAAAACGCATCCGTCTACATCCTGCAAACTGCTGCACAAAGCATCTACTGATAGCAGGACTATCAAGTATCCCAGCAAAGGGACCCCAATTTCAAGCCCTTGTACCACACAAGAAACATCCAAACACTCCTCAAACCCCTGGTAGAATCTATTGAATCTATTCGAAGCCTCTCAGAATCCACACACACCTCAACAACTGAAGAACCCTGCCCCCTTAAAACTTGAACCTTGAACAACCCTGAAGATCCCTCCCTAAACCCTGAACCCTAAACNNNNCCCCCCCCCCCCCCCCCACTTCGGGACCTTTGAATCTCTTGTGCACTGCCAGGGCAGTCTTGGGTCCCATACGGGTCCGCCAAGATCTGTTGCAACAGCTCCGTCATGACCACGACTTTTGCTTCTGGACCTGTTCCATTCAAAGTAGTGATTAAGGGATATTCTGGGCTCAGGTGATAGGCTGAGTATGTAACGAACGGCTATGCGTGCTGCTGCTGCTGCTGCTGCTCAGGATATGTAATGCAAAGTCAAAGATATCGCACTACTCATGTCCCCTCACCCTCAACACAGAATCCCTAGTGTGACCCGAACCCGACCACTCATGAATCCATCGGAACACACTCGGCTGTCTGTCAAGACATGCTGAAACATATGCTTCCCGCTTTACTTTGTTTGCGGCTGTTTAACCCTAAACCCTAAACC